CCCTCCAACCAGACCCTGTGCCACTGACCCTTTGAGAGCTGTTACTCAGCCAGTTCTCAATCCCATCTCACCATCCACTCATCCAACCCACACTGCCTGAGTTTGTCCAGGAGGATGTTGTGACAGACAGTGTCAAAGGCCTTGCTGAAGTCGAGGTAGACAATATCCCAGTGCTGTCCCCTCATCCATCCAGATAGGTGTTTCATCACAGAGGGCAATCAGGTTGGTCAAGCAGGATTTACCTTTGGTGAATCCTGATCTCGTTGTCCATGTGAGTAGAGGTGGTCTCCAAGAACAAGGCCCTCCATCACCCTTCCAGGGACTGACGGGAGGCTGACTGGCTCGTAGTTCTGGAGGTCCTCCTTCTTGTCCTTTTTCCTGACCAGAGTGACATTTGCTGTCTCCCAGTTCTCAGGCACCTCTCCTGATCTCCATGACCTTTCAAAGCTGATCTTGAGCAGCCTCTCTGGGATGTCTGCGAGCTCCCTCAGCTCTCATGGGTTCATGCCGTTGGGACCCATGGACTTGCGGATGTCAAGTCTGCCCAGATGTTCTCTAACCTGATCCTCCTTGAAAGGAGGACTTTCCAAGGAATTTCAGAGGAAAGTCTTGCTTCCAGCACTCCTTTGCCCCTGTTTCCTGGGTGAGAGACCTCTGAGGTGTGGTCTTGTCAGTGCAGACTGATGCAAAGAAGGTGCTCAGTAACTCTCTGTATCCTCTGTCACCAGGGTCTCCCATCTGTTTAGGAACACACATTATCCTTTGTTTTCCTTTTGGTTTTGATGCATTTGAAAAAGCCCTTCTTGCTGTCTTTGACATCCTTGGCCAGATTTAACTCCAGGTGGGCCTTGGCCCTTCTCATTTCTGCTTACTCTGATAATCTCTCTGTGTTCATTTCAAGTGGCCTGACCTCACTTCCATCTCCTGTGTATTTCCTGCTTCCACTTGAGTAATGACAGGAGTTCTTTGTTTATCCACACAGGTCTCTTGCCCCCTTTGCCAGATTTCTTGCTCATTAGGATGCATTGTTCTTGAGCCTGGAGGAAGCGATCCTTGAATATCAACCAACACTCTTAGACCCCTTTTCCCTACAGGACCTGTTTCCATGGGATTCTTTCAAGAAGATCCCTGGAGAGGCTAAAGTTAGCTCTCCTGAAGTCCATGGTTGTAATCTTAACTTGCTGACCTGGGTCCTCCTTGCCCCCAACAGAACTCAACAATCTCATGGTCACTGCAGCCAAGGCTGCCCCCAAACTTCACCTCTCCAACAAGACCTTCCCTGGTTGTCAGTCTTAGGTCGAGCACACCATTCCTTGTGGGATCCTCCCCTGCCTGTGACAGGAAGTTGTCATCAATGCTTTGCAGGAACATCCCAGACTGTGTTGCTTTTCCAGCTGTTGTCAGGGTAGCTAAAGTCCCCCACAAGAACCAGGGCCTGTGATTGTGAGGTTGCTTCAAGCTGCCTGTAGAAAGCCTCATCCATTTCTCCTCCTGATCAGGCTGCCTGTAACAAACACCCACAACCAGGTGACCCATACTTGTCTGCCCTTTTATCCTGACCCATAAGCTCTCAACTTGCTCATCATCCACCCCAAGACAGAGTTCGATACATCCAGAGTGTTGCCTCACATAGAGGGCAACTCCACCACCCTTTCTTGAGGCACCCAAGAAACAAGAATGCCTTTCACTGCCATCTATTGCTTTGTTCCACAGGCTGACTGTGTGTCTGGAAGAGAAGGAGTTGAGCCTCAGAACCCTGGAGGAAAAGAACCTTGCCCAGCAGAACCAGGTGTCTGAGCTCCATTCTGCTCTTCACCAGGCCAAGCAGCTCCTTTCAGACCGCACAACAGAGCTGCAGGAGCTCAACAACCAGGTGACCTATGCACTGATATCCTCTTCTCCAGGAACACACAATACCACCCACAGCTTGTAGGACCTCACTGGTTTCCCCTCCCAGCAGCACACACTGCTCTTGTGCTCTGCCCAGAGATGCTGCACCTTGAGGCCAAGGCTGGATGTGGTGTCTCCTGCCTGTGTTTTCCCCTCTTCTCTCCTGGGTCCCAGTATGAGCTCTCTGAGGAGAAGCAACACACTGCTTTGAGCTTCTCCATCCCTGTGTTCCCAGTGTTGTCCCTGGTGGAGTTTGTGCCTGTGCCAGGCACAGAGCAATGTGGGGACACAGAGGTGGTTCTGGCAGGCTGGGGAAGACACCTCATCTGGTGTTTTGGAGCAGCACCATCAAGGATACCCATTGTTTCCCCTTTCCCTGTTTGGAGTTTACTGTTCTCCACTGGAATACTTGGCTTTGTACCTTCTGTTTCTGGTGTGTCTTGTGCTTGAAGGAATTTGTCCTTTGCTCCTCACCCTACTGCCTGCTCTGCTGCCTCAGGAGCAGCCCAGCCCCTGACACTCTGTGCACCCATGTTCCAGATCCAGTCCCTGCAGGAAGCAGTGCAGGAGAAGGAGGCTGCCCTGGCAGCTCGAGAGGAGCAGCTGCTGCAGGCCCTGGAGGAGTCACGAGCGGGCGAGCGGAGCTTGAAGGACTCTCTGCAGACTCTGGAGGCCGAGGGGTTTGAGCTGCGTTTGAGGCTCCGTAACTCCGAGAAGAGAGAAGAAGCCTTGGCCACAGAGTGTCAACAGGCCAGCAGTGCCCACCAGGAAACCCGATCCCAGCTGGACAAACTGCACTTGGTTCTCCACCACATGATCAGTGACTGCAGAGACTTGGTCACTTGGAGCTCAGGCAAGTGTGGGAGGCTGGGTTAGTATGTCTGTAGAGCATGTGTGGGACAGCAGATGGAGGAAGGGGGTCATCCTGGTCTGACAGACTCATCCTTTCACCTTAGGCTGGCTCAAGCCTTGGGAAATTTTGAAAGCTTGACATCCTTGCAGAGACACAAATCCGTGTTTGTATGTGGAGAAATGATCAGCATCAGAATGGAAAAAGGCCTGAGTCCTGTCAAGCCACAGGGCACATGCAGTCATCCTTGGGGTAGCACTGACATTAGTGGTCATCAAAATAACGTCAGCCTGTGACACTGGCTTGCTGTAGGGCAGGCTCTAGGATGATGGCAAAGGCATGGCCACGCTCTCCTGTGTAATAAGAGGCCTTGTTTGTTGGAGACCCTTGGATTCAGTTTTGAAACAGAATGTCTTGTCTCTTCAGAACAGGGTAGTGCTGTGGGCCTAACTACTTCTCAGGCCAGGGACCTCCCCACAGAGCTCACAGTGGACAGAGTGGCAGCAGCCCTACAGGACCTGCGTCAGCACCTGGAGCAGACTCAGAAAGATCTGGTAATGTGTGCCCTGGGCACCCAGAAATCCTGTCCCTGTCCCTGCTGGACAAGCAGAGTGCCAATGCCGGGGGGGTGTCAATCCTTTTAGGGGGGGTTGGCTCACTACCATGGGGAGGAGGCAGGATCATGATCACATCTACCATTACTGTACCAGCAGTGGCTCTGAGAGGTGATTCTGCTCCTCTTAACTCTTCCAGAATGACACCAGGAAGAAAACACAGGTCTTGGAGCTGGAACTGAGCACAAGGCAGGCTGAGAGGGACCATTGGTGTGCCCGCAATCAGGAGCTGCACAAACAGTTGGCTGAAAGCCAGGAAGGTACAGCTTCTCCTTTCCCACCCACTGCCCATCCCCTCTGGCCAAAGGGGATCTCTGATGCCACACAGAGGAAAAGTACAGTGCCCGGGGGTAGGAGAGGAGAAAAACAACCAGCAGGAGACTTCTCCCTAGAAGTCCCAGGGAGAGCTTTTGGTAGACAGAGATGGTGTGGCTGGCAGTGCATCTGGCTGTGCCACGGGGGAACCTGTGCAGAGGTGGTGCCTTTCAGGTCCCATGTCCCTGCTAAACAGGTGTATCTTGATGCCTGAGCTTGATTCCTCCAAACTCCAGGCCATCCCAGAGCCTCCAGGGCTATTGGTTTCTTTATAGCATGGCGGGACAGGGATCCCCACTCCTTTCTCTGTCTTTGTTTGCCCACTCTGCACATCAGAACTGCATTTTCATCTCAGTGCCTTGTTTCCCTTGTCTCAGACTCTCTCTCAGCTATTCCTGGTCAGTCAGCGGTGTCCTAGTCAGTCTTTACTTTTGCTTCTTCTTCCTTTTCCTTTGGGACCCTGGATTCATATCTCCCCTCCTGTCTGTCCCTGTTTCATCCATGTCAGTTCTCCCTGCTTCTAACACTGTGACTGAGGTGCTGCCATGCCCTCAGTCCTGGTCTTCCAACAAACAGAAGGGCAAGCACACTTTCATGTTCCTTGGATTCTTGCCCCTTTCGTTCTTCCTTTTTTCTCTGCCTGGAAGTTTCCTTCCTTTCTGTCAGCTTTGGAAGCCCTTGTGGGCTTAGGGCCTGGGTAACACAGACAGGCAGAGAAGACACTGCTGTTGTGTCTGCAGGATGCACATCAGTTTGGCTTGGCTTTGCTTTTACCCTTCCCCTTTCCTGCTGTAGCGCTGTGGACGGCAGAACACAAGAGGGATTCTCTAGAAGCTGCCCTGAAGGAAGAGGCCTCTGCAAGGAAGGAAGAAGCTGTGACTCTGCGTCAGGAGGTGGAGTCTCTGCAAAGGAAACTGGAGAGCACAGAGAAGCAAGGACAGGATGTGCTGGTGAGGCTGGCAGATGCCATGAAGGGCCATTTTCTAGCTGATTTTGGACCTTGTGTTCGTATTTTTAAAGAACGACTTTTTCCAGTTTAACTTTTCTAATTGCATTCTTCTGAATAAGGAGGAAAAGATGTCGTAGTCATTTCAAACCCAGTTAGGGCTGAGGGTGCTTCTTTTCCTCCATGCTGAAGTTTTCTGCCCTTGAAGCTTTAGTCAAAGCAATTTATCTCTATTTACATCGCATGGTCTGGGCAATCCCTTGTGTCCAAATCCATCTTCAGATTTCCAAATATCTGGATCTGGAAAAAGGGGTGAGAGGATCAAGTTTCCGAATAGTCACAAGGTGTTCAGCAATGGCCATCTGAGAGCAGACAGTGGGGAGAAAAGAGAGAAAACAAAAGTGCTGATGCAGATAATAACGTGAGCCTGCGAAGGGAAAACTAGTCCTGATTGGAAAGCCAGACTGACAGACTAATCTGGCCATTGCTGCTTCAAGAGAGGAAAGTGGGGCTCTAGGGGATGGTACCATGGCAACTCTCCACAGGAGAGGTCGAAAATCACCCCCTCTTGCCCCAAACCCAGCAAAGGAAATGTTGGTGCCCTTTGCTCTTCCCTTCCGTCCCAATGGAGAGCACATTGTCATGGCACTGCCTAAATCATGCTTAGTCTGGACTTGAAATCCTGGCTGCAGTTCTGGCAGCTCCTCCCCAAAGGAACACTCGAGTAGAGCTCCAAGAGGTTGGGGAAGGGCAGAAAGGAAGCTGGGACTGGCTGAGGGAGCTGAGAAAGCTGCAGCATAAAGGGGGGGGCACAGAAGGGTCTGCAGCGCCCAGAGAGGCAGGGAGAGAGGGCAGCCCGTGCCTGCCACTGCGGCAGGAGCTCAGGTATGATACAAAGAGCAGACATAAGAGATGGAATGACTGACTCTTTTGTCCCTGCTTTGCAGCATGAACGGGACAGGCTGCAAGCAGAGAAAGAAAAACTGGAGTGTCAGATCAAACTTCTTGAGGAATCACTCACAGCCTCTGAAACCCGAGCAAATACAGCAAGAGACACAAATCACTCCCTTGAACAAGAACTCCAAACTGCACTGTCCCTCTTAGAAATTAAAAATGAGGAAGTGGAAAATCAGATGAGGAAAACGGAGATGCTCCAGAAAGAGGCAGCAGAGGGCAAAGCTTTACAGGATAATCTGGCTCGTATGACTGCCATCCTGTCAGAGAGGGAGAGAGAAATGAAGGTGTTCCAAGAGCAGATGAGAGTCCTGGAAAAGCAGAAAGAAATGCAAAAAACTGCTCTCAATCAGGTTATTAAGGACATAACAGAGAAAGAAAAGAAGACGGAATCTCAGCAAGAACAGATACAGGAGCTGGAGAAGCAGCAAGAACAGCAAAGGATTGCTTTAAGCAAAGAGCTGGAAGAGAGAGAGCGGGAGATGATATCCCAGCAAGAACAAATACAGGAGCTGGAGAAGCAGCGAGAAATGGAGAGGGCTGCTGTCAGCAGGGTGAGCAAGGAGCTAGAAGAGAGGGAGCAAGAGATCAGATCCCAGCAGGAACTGATAGGGGAACTGGAGAAGCAGTTAGAATTGCAGAGCACTGCTGTCAGCAAGGTGAGCAAGGAACTGGAAGAGAGGGAGCAGGAGATCAGATCCCAGGAGGAGAAAATAATGGTTCTAGAACAACATGGTGCAGCACAAGTGAGAAATCTGCTTGAGGATCTTGATCATGTGAAAGGAAACCTGAAGGAGAAAAACTTGGAGCTTCTGTCTCTGACTCAGCAGATCCAAGAACTGGAAAAGGAGAGAGAACAGGGGAAAACTCTGCACACAAACCTTGAACACCTGAGGGCAGCTCTTAAGGACAGAGAGAGTGAGTGTGACACTCAAAGGGAAGAGTTAAAGCTCTTGCAGCAGCACAAGGAACAGCAAGAAGGGCATCTGCAAGAGCTTCTTGGTAAAGTAGAAAACATGACACTTTCTTTATCTAAAAAAGAACAAGAACTTGAGTCACAACAAAAGCAAATCCAGGAAGTTGAAGAAGCCCTGGAAATGCAGTTAAGGACTGTCCGTGACCAACTGGAGCAGACCTTAGCAACCTTAAAAGAAAAAGACAGACTCATAGACATCCAAAAGCAACAAACAAGGAGCTATGAGGAAAAAACAGAACAACAGATGAATGTCTTGCACAGAGACTTAGAATACACTAGGGCAGTACTGAAAGAAAAGGATATCATGATTGAATCTCAGAAGGAACTGATTGAGACCTTCCAAAAACAACAAGAAGACTCTGAACAGCAGAAGGAAATTCTGCAGCATCTTCAAGTGGAACTAAAGGAAAAAGAGCAGGAAATTTTATCCCTTAGAAAGCAGTGTGAGGCATGCAAGGAAAAGGAGGAAAAACATGAAGCTCAGCAAAACAATTTCCAAGCAGCAGCACTGACTCTGAAAGAAAGAGAAGAAAAGATCTGGGTTCTGGAGGAGGCTGTCTCTAAGCTTCAACAGCAAAAGGAGGAGACAGTGGGGCAGACTAAAGCCATCATGCAAAAACTGGAATGTGCTGAATCTTCTTTAGAAGCCAGCGATCAAGAGAGAGCATCTTTGGATGAGCATGTCCAGGACCTTCGAGAGCAGAAGGAGGTGGAAGGCAGGCAGGCCAAAAGTCTAGAGCAGGATCAAGGCAAAATGAGGCAGATGTTGCAGGAGAACCATTTGGAGTTCCTCAAGCAGACAGAGCAAATGAACATGGTCCAACTCCATGAAGAAAGCATGAAAGTAGCACTAACCTTATGCCAGAAGCAAATAACTCTACTTGAGGAAGTGGTGAGGAAGAAAGATGAAGACAATGAAACTCTTCTGCAAAAACTCCGGCACCAAGAAGAAGTAGTGAAGACTTGGCAGAATCTCCAGCTTAGGGCAGCTGAGAAGAATGAAGAGGTTAGACGTGAGGGAGAGCAAGAGAAGCTGCTGCAAGAAGCCTTCCCTGAGAGAGAAGGAGAGACCAAGGCTCAAAGCGACCAAAAGGAGTTAGAAGAGGTAATAAGAGCTCTTCGGGAAGATCTCCAGCACATTCAGCAGACTCTGATGAAGAAGGATGAAGAGATCAAGTACCAAACAGACAGAGTCAGGTATTTAGAGGAGGCACTGTCAGGGAGAGAACAACAGCTAAGGAGAGAGAGCGAACTCCTGAAAGAATTAACATCAGCTTTGCGATGGAAGGATGAAGGGGAGACCCTAAAGAAACAAATCCAAAACCTCCAAAAATGGGAGAAAGAGGTAATAGAGAAGATGAAAGTTCTCCAGGAGAGAGACCATCTCTTGCAAAGGCAGAAGGAGCTAACCCAACAATGGCAAGCTGAGAGGAAAGCCAATGGGGAGGAATTGGAGTGTGTGGCTGCTGCTTTGAAGCAGACACAAAGCAGAGAACTCGAATGGAGAGAGAAGGCCCAAGTCCTGAGAGCTGCCCTTACCAAGAGTGAAATGGCCAAAGGGACTCTGCTGAAAGAATTGGACATCCTGCAGAGAATGGTTTCAGAGCGGGACACGGACCGATTCCATCAGCAGGTAGGCCCTGGGATTGATTTCAACTCAAACGTCCCTGAAGGATTCCAATGATGTTTCCCTCTAAGAGGTGGGAATATAGATTCCCATCAGTGCAAGACCTGTTTGGGCAAAGCAGCCAGGTCTGCAGCCAGCAGCCTTGTCTGTCTGGCTGGCTCCAGCAGAGACCATTTGCCTGTGAGAATGTTTCCTGGCAGGCCCGGAACGACTGACACAACTATGGAGCTGGCTGTTCAAATCAGCTCCATCCAAAAGCTGGGCATGGGGAACTGGTTCTCCCGTGCCTAGGCAAGCTCAGCCAACACATGGTGGCTTGGATTTGGCATGGAAAGAAAAGGGAGCTGCTGACCAGACTGATGTAGTGAACTCAGCAGAGTTTTGTACTGATGGCTGAAGAGCAGCTGCACTGCTGGAGCTTAGAGGGTACTCTGAGACATGGAGGTTTCTGAGGGACAGCTTGTCCAGTGTACTAAAAAGAATGGGATTTATACCATTGCCTGGTCAGGTTAAAGGCTTCATTGCTCATTCAGGACATGCTTGTGCCCCTGTCCAAAAAGCACAAAGATAAATTTGTGTGGATTTCTTCAAGGTGAACTGATTCAGGTCCCACTAGTGGAACAGCTGCAATAGCCTGTGCTGCAGCCTTACCAGGAATTTGCCAATATTTTCTACATTCCATTAGTATACTGATGTAGAGAAAAACTACTAAGAAAACCCTGTATTTATGCATTATACATTTACACATGACTTAAGAAATATTACTGGCAGCCTGATCAGGATGCTGACAGGTCCTGCGACCTGTTGATGGGAAGCAAAGAAGTGACAAGTGCAGGAAATGTGAAAACAACGGAAGATTTCAGTTCCATCCATGTAGATCAGCTGGGCAAGAGCTGTTGATCAGGAAATGCAGTTGCATCCTCAGAGATTGGTTTAGTGCTGGTGTCAAGAATAAAATTATCAATGCTCCAAGGAGCAGTTCATCAGGAAAGGCACGACAGGGGAGGTGACTCCTGACTAGGCTCAGAGCAGTGTACATGGCTTGACTGATAACGTGATTTTTTTCCACAGAGCAGTCCTGGATGAAGATGTAACAGGCAAAGAGAACAGAGAACAAGACTGTAGTGTTCAGTCACTGCAGAAATACATACTTCACCCACAGCTTACACATGTTTACTTGCCTAAGGACAGAGCTGTAGATAGGGGAATGTACAGTGATAGTCAAAGAGAATGACCAAAGATGGTAGATAACTTCCCTAACAGGAAGGTGTAAATGTGCAAGTCTTCACAGTCAGCACGAAAACGCTGAGAGAGGGAGCTGGAGACACTCCAGACCTTTCTAAAACTATGAAGTGGCTGAATAGGAAATGAATGTTTCCAGTCTCTCTCAAAACCAGAATGGGGGACACTGAACAAAACAAGCAGAAAGCACATCCAGAACAAACAACTCAATTCTCCAAGCTGATTTGGAGGAGGGCCCCTAGAGAGAGGATGTGTTCCTTTGGGCTGTGCACCAGAAGGAGAAGGGCCTTAGCACTGTCCATTCCTGTTGTGGTCACTCTGCCTGACATGTTGGTTCTAACATCCTTCTAACCTTTATGTGGCACCAGCTCATGGAATCTCCTCTCTGAATGCCCAGCAGGCTGTTGCAGAAGGGGAGCAGCTGTCATGGCTCTCAGAGAAGAGACTCATGTCACAGAGCCTGGAATGTCTGCAGCGAACAGTTGCAAGGCTGGAAGATGAAAAGGTGGAGCTGAAGCAACAAAATGCTGAGCTCAGGAGGACTCTTGAACAGGTAAAACGGGCTTTTGCTGCCTCTGCAAAGCCTCATGGTCCTCTGAACCATGACACATTTCCCCAGGCAGCACTTTGGAGTCTTCTTGTTTCCTTCCCTCTCCTTCTTCCTGCTGTGGACACACACTTTGCATTTTCTCTCTCTTCTGGCACCCCATGGCCTTCACAAATACACCTTCACTGCAGTGCCACCCTCCTTGCCCCAGTGTCCCCAGACACACATTTGCCTCTCTTCCATAGCCCACATCGAGTCCTTTTTTGTTCTCTGGGGCAATTAAGGGTCTCTGAGCAGAGATCTCCTTGCCTTGATGTCCAGAGGTCCTTTTGCTCCCTGTTTGGTGGCAGGTTTCTGTGACCCTTTCTCCCATCCAATGTGCAGGTGGAACGTGAGCGGAGGAGGCTGAAGAGATGTTTTAGGGATCAGATGCTCCCAGATGCCTGTGGATTGTCTCTCTCCCAGTCTGACCAGCACAAAGTGTCCACCTCTAGACAGGTGAGAACAGAACCTTCCCTGGTGAGAGGAGGCTCTGGCCATACAAGGAACAAGGGCAAATCCCAGTGGCAGTGGCCCCCCAGGAGAGACCTAGTGGTAGTCAAGTATAGACCATGCCCTGACCAAGCTGCAGACTAAAATGAAATCTTGTGTTTTATTCACAGGAGGAGTCTCACGCTCACTGCAGTCAGCGATTAGCTGAGCTACAGAACCAGGTGAGGAGTAGGAAAACTCTCCTCAAAAGCTGCTGTGGCTCTACTGATGGGCACGGCTTTGCACGATGCTCCAAGCTGAGTTTTGTTTGGCTGTCAGGAAGTGAGTGCATCAGGCAGTGTCAGTTCTGCGCCTGTTGGCAACAACCAAACAACATCCTTCACCTCAGTCTTGTCTCTGGTTTGCCTAAAGGTCAGGCAGGGTGGGATAGGGGTGGTAGAAAATTCAGAACACTGGAACTCACCTGAAAATATCAAGATCATAGAATCATGACATCCTTAAGGCTGGAAAAGCCTTATGAGATCATCTAGTCCAGCTGTTAGCCCTGTACTGTCAGTCCCAAACCTAAACTGTGCTCCTGAGCACCACAATTACATGTTTTTTGAGCACTTCCAGGGATGGTGATTCCACCATTCCCTGGGTAGCCTGTTCCATGATGTTCCCTTTTGTTGCCTGTCCCCATTTTCCCTTGCCTCCGTTAGCAGTGGAGAGGTCCAGGGCTCTGAGGCAGTGCCAGAGCTGAGCCTTCAGGCCATCCTCAGTCTCCTCTTGCTGTGCTGTGCTAATCACCACCCTGCTATGGGACCGAGTCAGAGACCTCAGCACTCTGAGGATGTTTGGTTTCTCAGTGTAAGAATGTTCATTCCAGCTGCTGAACCCTGTTGCATCCTTTGCACAGCAGGAGGTCAAACTGAGCAGGAGGTGGGAGCAGCTCTGCCCCCGCCAGCCCAGCAGGCACAACCCCGTGGGGTCAGGAAAGAGCAGAGTTTGAGGAGTTCCAAGGCTTCAGCACTGCTGTAAGGTCCCTGGGCTTTGTTCTCCACATTCTTCTGCGCTCATGTGTGGGATGCTCTAAAGTTTGGGAGAGGGAGAATTTGCTCCCTTTCCCTGGGCTGGCTGTCGAGGTGCTCAAGCAGAGCAGTTCTCCAGTACCCCGGGTAGGCAGCAGCCTTCCTGATGAGGCACAGCCTGTGGAACTAAGGGCTCATGGCCCAGATTTGAAAATCAGAGCTGGGTTAGTAAATCCTGTTGGAACTCTCTCTCTAATAGACCTGTGATGGCTGAGGGTTGTACGTGGGAAGGGTTGGCCAGCAGGAAACTTGACGTGTTGATAAGCTGAGCTCTGTTCAGGGGACTCTGGGAGCCTGTTCCTTTCCCTTCCACAAGGTCCCAGTGTTTGTCAGGGCTGGTCGAGGCCGTGTCTGCCCCAACTGCTGGCACTGTGGAGCCACAGATGGTCCTGACAGCGTGGGCTTGTCTGAGCTCAGCTTTGTGCCTCTTTTAGGTGTCCCTCCTGCAGTCACAGCTGGCACAAGACCGACAGCACAGGCAGAACTACATTGAGAGCTGTGCAAGGACCAACCAGGAGCTGTCAGACCTTCACCAGGAGCTGTCCTGCTCCTTAGCAGCTGTGCTCAGGGAGCCCAGAGCTGCTGTTCTGGAAGCAGAGACTCAGAAGCTGGATCAGTCTCTGAACTTGGCACTGATGTCCCTGGACTGTCAGTCTCCTGAGAGACAGAGGGTACATCCAGCAGCCCAACCTGCCAGAAGCAACCTGAGGTAACAGCACCTCTGGTCTCCATTTGAACGGGAGGATTTCTGCTAAGACGAAGAGCTCTTGGATGTGAGAAATGGGATGAACTCCTCAGGGCAAGGCTGCTCCCTGCCTTTTCCCTCTGTTTCTCTCACAGTCAGCTGGTGCTGTCAAACCTCACCTTACATTGAGGATTAGGATCTATGAAGTGTTATCTCAGGCAGATGATTTCTGGGGACAAAATGTGAATATGTGAGAACGAAGACATAGGTAAGGAGAGAGAATGATGTGTGGAGAAGGAAGCCCAAACACGAACAATCCCTGAACAGTAAGACTTTGGGGTGACAGCTGTCCGAGGGCGGCTGCTCAAATAAAATAAAAGGACATAAAGGTTGTGCTACAAACAGTTAAAGTAGCATGACAGCATTTGTTCTGTTTGCATTTCCAATCATCTCCTAAGGACAGACACTTAAATGTTTTTCCTAATAAAATGTTTTTAATAAAATTTTTTTAGAAGAAGGTTATACATATCTTTACCTGGCCCAATGAGGCTGTTGTGTGATTTCCCCTCTTGAGGGCAGAGCTGTTTCCTGCCAGGAGAAATGGAAATTTGAGGAAAGGGGTGGAGAGAACACAATGGGGATCAAAGGTGGGCGAGAGAGAGGGTTTCCCTCCCCTTTTCCCTCCCCTTATCACCCCCCTTTCTCCCTTCCCTTTTCCCCCCCCCTTTTTCTTACTCCCCTTTTATTCCCTGTCTTTTCCCTCCCTCTTTTCTCCCTCTCTTTCCCCCTTCCCCTCCCCTTTCTCCCCTTTTTGCACCTCCTCTTTCCCCTGCCCCCTTTTCCTCCCCTCTTTTTTCCTGACCTTTCTACCCCCCTTTTCCTTCACGGCTTTTTTCTCCCCCTCACGCCCCCATTTTTTCACCCTCCTCCTTTCTCCCAGTCCCTTTCCATTTTTCCCTCCAAAGCACTGGGACTCTGCTGGGACACTGCTTTCTGCACCAGCCAGCCAGGGGCACAGATGTGCTGCTCTCCAAAGGGCCTCAGAGCCCAACCCAGCCGTTCCAGGCTAGGATGGGGAGGGTGTCCTGGGCAGGGAGAGCTGCTCTCCACCAGCAGAGCAGGTTCCTGGGACCTGCCCTCACGCTTAGATTTTTCTGCTTTCTGTCTCAAAATCCTATTAATTCAACCACTTCAGTCAAGGAAGACTCTCGGTGTATGACAACCTTGCTTTGATACAGGAACATTGAGGGACCTTCCTCCTGCCAGGGCTGTGGCCCCTCATAGCCCCTTACATCCCCTCATGCTTCATGTCCTCTCACAGCCCCTCCCGACCCCTCCTAGCCCCTCATTCCCCTCAAGTTCCCTCCTGGCCCCTCATGATGCCTCA